TCTCTCTCTCTCTCTCTCTCTCTCTCTCTCTCTCCTGGATTATAGAGAACTAAGTGCTGTCTGTCTTGAAACAACTTTCGTTTCCCACTTTTGGGAGTCTGTGTGACAGCTAAAAATGCTGTTGAAAGACACCCCCCCCCACCCCCACTTCCTCGACTCCCTCGAGCCCAAAATTATTTTGGTCAATGCTTATTGTGTTTCGTATACCAATTTTAGTTTCATTTTGTACTAACTTCTAGTCTTACAATTTTAATTCAGTTAGGAATCTTTTTTAAAAACCGAAAACTGTGATTGGCATTTAGTTCGCTCAGGGCTGAGTTGCTAGCTACAGTACTTTACTAAGGCAGAAAAAAGAAAGACACAAGCATTGCACACCAAAAAGTGTGCAACGAGTAAACTGTAGAGAGAGAGATTTCGACACTGTCATATTATCATCACTAACTGTGATCAACGACAGGGAAGTGGAAACGGTGTTTGGATAGGAGGCTGGAAGGGGCGTATTGAAGGGGGAAGGGAAGGGTCGTATTGGAGGGGGGCAGGGAAGGGGGGATGAACATTTTCTGAGAGATGGTATTAGGTCGGATTAATCAATGACCAGGGAAAGATAAAGTGGCCAGGGTTCGTTTATAGGAGGTCAGATGTAAAAGTTTCCTCCGAGATGTCCAGTGGGAACTTCCTCATCCACCCCCACACATCCGGGCTCTCCATTCTCTGTGGGGCCAACATGGCGGCTGCTATGACGTCATGATCAAAGATTGATGGTTACTTATTTCAAGAAGGAAGGCCTCAACTTGGTCTTTACTGGGACTCCTAACCCTCGACAGCCAACCGTGAATAATTTGGATGTTCTCAGTTTGCCAGAAAGTCAATGTCTAGACGAGATGACAATTGCAAGATCTGTTCTCCGGCGTTGATCCCAACAGAATTCTCGATTCTTTACAGGCTATTGGCCTTTGTGGTAAATTGTAACAACAGTTATATTGAGTTTAATCAGGTTATAATTTTAAACTGTTATTTTACATTAAGTTTTAAGCGCTTTAAATCTGATCATTGACCTGAGCCAAGCCGTGTTGTGAACTGTTGTGAATGCAACCAGCTTGTGTTTCGCACGCTCATATCATGACCTTATTAAGTTGCGAGCGCCGTAAAACTCTTACTGAAACTAAAACCAAAAGACGAGAAGTAAAAGAAATAAAATGCAAGTTTTAACAAAAAATTTCGTCTCTAAATAAAGAAAATGACGTCACTTCCTCCTGACCTGACCATCAATGATTTATTTATAGAGGCACCAGCCATTGTTACTTCCTCCTCCGCTCTCCTCTTTGTTTTCTCTTTGGTTCTCAGAAATTTTCATTTGTTTGTTTGGCAGATACATTTCTCTGT